GAAAAAGCGTTGGATAGCGTGGGCCAGCCATCCCAAAACCTTCATCGCCGATAGGGGCACGTCCCTTCGAGGTGAGGTCACGCAGTATCTAGCCAGGCACGGAGGCTTGTTGAAGGCCATGATCAGAAAAGTGGTGCAAGATACCGCCGCCGCTGGCAGGGAGGCGCGGAGAGTTGTGGCCATGGAACTTTCCCGGTGCCAGGGATTCTCTCCTTCGCAGCATGTGCTGGGGAAGCTGCCTCATTTTCCCCTCGACTACAGAGTCAGCGACTTGGTTGTGTGTCGAAGGGATAATGTTCCTCCAAAGCCAGGCGTGGTATGGTCTACCGTGTCACGGGTTATAGGGCGCGAAGCTGGCAACGCCCTATGGCTGTTGAACGAAGGTGTACCAGTGTACCGACCAGTCCTCCTTAGCGTACACAAACTACGTCCTGCCGACGAATAAAAGCTGGCTGCTGCGCGAGTTTTGGCAGGCGTTCCCGTCCTGGCAGAGGCGGTGGTCAACGGGCCAGAACAACGCTACATAGACGAGCATTCTGCTCAGCCAGACGAGTCGATGGGCCCAGTAGTGTCGGCTCCCGCGCCGGCCATTGTGCCGCCGACGCCTGGTCTTGTGCTCCTGCCACGCCAGTCATGCCCAAGTCCGGCGCTGCAACTCCTCCTAGCACTTTTCGCTTCCACGGAACAGAGCCACAGAAAAGACGGGCCAATCATGCCCTGAGCGGGGACGTGCCAGATTACCTATTGGCGGGAGTGCTGAGAATTCACCCGTGGCTCAGGAAGTCGGCTCCTTAGAGAGCTACGCTTCAGCGCTGGCAAACTATGTGGACTTTAGCAGTCATAGTTGCTTGGAACTCCTTAGGGCTTTCGCGCTAGTTAAGGGTACTAGTTCCTCGTGCCTAAGACCCGTAGTTGCTCAAGATGCGGACGCCCGTGAGACTATTATCCCATAGCGTCTACGTTAGGCGTCTACAGGCGTGGTGGTTTAGTTGGTGTTAGTGATGCCACTTACGATTTTCCTGATCTTATCAAATACTTTAAGGGGTGCATCCAGGCTAAGGTAGGAGAAAACCTACTACCAAACGCCACGTGGAACGCACTGTCGTTCACAAATCCACACGTAGGCCCACACACTGATAGGGGTAACAAACCCGGCGCACCAAATCTCACGACAAGTTTGGGCCCGTACTCTCGTGGTGGCGAGCTTTGGATGGAAGAGCCTGGTGGGGGAACTTACCTGCAGGTAGACGGGGAATTAGTGGCAGGTCGTCTTCACATTACCAAAGACCGGTTGTTTGTCTTTAGTCCAAAGGTCTAACATTCCGTCGTTCCACCAAACGGCGAGAGACGGAGTATCACGGCATTTACCATGTCTGACCTAGGCAAATTGGATGTCGAAAAAGATGCATTTCCTGCTGTCCCATGGCTTTCAGATTGAGGCCGAGATCGATGCTCCCGAGCATTAGCTGAATCCCACAGCTACAGGGCTGATGGCCGAATCTTTGCTCAACCCAGGTGACACCACGCAAGGGAAGAGATTCAAAGTAATTGACTACCATAGTGTAAGGGTTGAGGTGCGTATGGGACTTGACGCAGCAATGTCCACCGAATGGAACAAATACTGCGACGGCGATCCCTTTTTCACTTGCAGTTCAATGGCTGCAGATCTCTGACGGATCATCTCCTCAGTTTGATCCCTCGCACTGTCGAAGATAAAAGGCTGGCATTGAAATGGCCGCGCTCCGCCAGAGCTTGTGGACGGAAGAAGAAGAGCGGACTTGCAACGCTTACGCCCCACACAGGGACGAACTCCGTTGGGTGCCTACCCACCTGCAGCTTGCCGACGCACTCACGAAGTCGCTGAAGCCATTGTTGCTAAATTCGGCACTTGAGAAACAGGTTCCGTGATAGTGCGTGAGCAAGGAGCTCACACCGCACTATGCTCATTTCCCGTCCGTGCAATTTGGGCATACAAGAAAGCTATGCATAGCATCAGCTACTATGTTGCGTACTATTATCTTCGGCTGTGTATCGGCCCACAGAATCGGCGGCAAGTTGCTCGTAGCCATTTGTACAGTCTCTACCCCACACGTCGATATCACGGGTGTGGATTTCTATTCACTTTTGAGCTGCACCGTGGTAGGAGTAGAAACTGACATGCTATGTTGCGTAGCTAGACTCTGGACTGGACCGCAGGCGCCTTGAGTCTCAAAGCAAAATTGTGCTGCACAGTCGCGTGGTTGCTAGTAGTTCCAGAACCCCAAACCTTAAACCCTAAACCCTAAACCAATGAGGCTGTGGTACGAGGCCTTCACTTCTGAGGCCACAGCCTCCGCGCAGATGCTGCAGGCCTTGGCGCCCTTGCCCGAGACAGATGACCAGGAGCCCTCTTTTACAAGACAGGGTTCCAGGTTTGGGGGTTTACGGGTTTAGGGATTAGGAGTTTAGGTTTAGCGTTTAGTGTAAAGTTTAGGGGTTCGGGCTTAGGGTTTGCGATTTTAAGTTTTAGGGAGTGGGGTTGTAGGCTGAGCCTTTGAAGTTTCACGGTAGGGTTTAGGATTTAGTGTTTGGGGTTTGGGCTTATGGTTTAGGAGCAGGAATGGGGAAAACATTGTAATTTCTATAAAGCTCACACAGCCAGGAGCTGCGAGCAAGAGGCCTTCTGGCACTAAACCTGGCCTTGCAAGGGGAGCCGCCAAGCGAATCGCCTCTGTCACCTGCAGCCTGGCTAAACGCCACCCTCTGCTATGGGTTCAGGATTCAGTGTTTAGGGTCTTTTCTGCTGTGTTTGCATCTTCAAGAAGGCTTCTACTTGTAGAAGGGCCTGAAGGGCCGCCCGCAGTTTTCTGCGAACCCATCACTTGGCCATGCTCATTGAAGCAAGGCTTTCAGTCGCAGCCTGGGATTTCCGTCTCGAAGCGGCCTGCGCCTGGGCTAAATAGGAAGTTGGAAAACCAAGATGTATTTGTCTAGTGGTAAGTAAGGATTGGAGAAATGGGTCATAAAGACCATTAAAGTGTTTTAAGCAGGGACTGTTATTCCCTGCTATTCTCCAGTCTCATTACCATCATTAAGAGGAACGATAAACCCTACACCCTGAGCCCTAAACCCTACGCCCGAAAGCGTAAACCCTAAGCCTAATCCCTATAAATCCTAAACCCCAAACCCAAAAAGAACAGAAGTGCCTCATCATGAGGTCGCTCCCCGACTCTGAAGGTATCAGCTCCAACAAGTTCCCAGGCTGGCAAGTGATGCAAAGTCAAAAACTACAGCTTAGAGTACCTCTTAAATAGATAGGGTTGAGGGTTTAGTCCCCCTAGATACAATTTAGGGTTTGGGGTTTAGTGTATAATCCCCCTCAAGTAGATAGAATTTAGGGTTTAGGGTATAGTCCCCCTTAAGCAGATCGAATTTAGCGTTTAGGTCCCCCTTATGTGGATAGAATATGGGGTACCTGGCAATTTTATTATGATATTGGACAATTCCTTTATTCTATCTACTTAGTGGGGACGATGCCCTAAGCCCTAAGCCCCGAATAGTAGCTTCCATCTTGTTTCCATTCTCCCTCTAGAATCCTTCTATGTAATTCCGAAACCCAAAACCCTGTAGACCCTATATAGAACCAGGAGTATGTGACTACGTGATTGGAGGTCTTCCAAAATTACGAAACTACCATTGTCGATATGAGTGTTGTTGTCATTATGGGTATGTGGAGGTGTAGTAGAAGGGTTGTACCAGACAGCAGGAGATGGCAGCCATGTTCGACCGTTGATGGTGGTGGAGCAGCCGATGGTAGCTTGGCAGGCATGGAGGGCTGATTTGTTGACCACTTACTAATAGGATCCAACAGGGTTTAGGGTCTAGCAGGGTCATTTTAGGGTATGTAGCGATTCTGGAAAAGCATTGCAAAATCACGGTTTCGGGTTTAGGGATCCAAATAATGGAGAATCAAGTAGAGAACGAAAAGGAAATTACATGGAAACTGGGGGTAGATACGGGTCTAGCATGCTTGCACATGGAACCCCTGGTTGGACATTGAAGTTAACGGCAAAATTGCAGCCTGCTCCAGCTGGTACGCAACCTCGATGTGCTTCATGTAAGGCTCCGCGTGTCAAGAAGATCTTCAACTGAGAAGTGGACCACATTCTGAGGAAGATGACCTCTGTCCAATGCGCGATGCCCTGCATCATGCCTAAGCCGTTGCCCAGATAGCCACGGCCCTGACCCGTGTAGCAGTGGTTTTGGGCCTCGGATGTTTCAACATGATGCGTGTCAAGAAACCAGTACGCCCAGCCTGGTCACGCGGTGAATTGCATGCCGTTGTCCATCCAGCTCTTTGCCAAATTCGCGTTGCTCTGCCGGTGGTGCACCTGGCATCTGACATTCTCAATGCTGGAGAGTGCGCACAAAAATCTCTGAGATTCTTTTTCTGGCTACCCGGATCAGGGATTGAAATGCAAACTTTTTGATCACCCCAAGCCGAGGAAAACATGGGCGCCGTGGGCTGAGAGGGCAGCCGCGTAGCTGCGGTGTGGCCGCTGTAGCCTCCTAGACTCCTGAAGATTCCTGATAGGTTCCGCACAGTTGACGAACCGGATGGTTAGCATTGATCATTCATTGGTTGGGTCAGTTGTGTTGAGGCAAGAATGTAGCTCTTTACTGAATCCTTCGGTGAAAGCAGTGCTTTAGACCGGCACAGCCTCGACTCTACCGGCCGTGCTGTCGGTGACTTCTCTGATTCGAGTTGAGCCCCTTTGACTTTGCGGGTCTTCCCAAAACAGCGGCTGCCCGTATGCATCGTGCCGTTAGCATGTGATGATTCTGCGCGTCATTGCACCTACGTACACAAGCAGCTGACAGCAACCACCTGGGTTCCGCGGAATTTACCTGGCTCAAGCCTCCTTCGCCTGGGTTCTCAGGGGAACTGCGGGCATCCAAGTTTGCGAAACACGAGTGGCAGTACGCTAGCTTGTGCACAACTGGCTGCAGGTTGCTGAAGAATGGGAGGTATCCGCCGGAGAGGGCAGAGGCGGGGTACGCCCACTCGAAAGGGGCCTGGCAATCAAAGCTGCCAAGGTCTCACAAGCAGGATGAGGCTCAAAAGGACTTGAAGTCACATAATACGTGCTCGGCATGAACCCGCAGCAGATGCAGTTTGACCGGCACCCTTCCTCGCTTGAAACGGACGCAGGCCGGCAGAGGTGGGGAGGCTGTGCCACTCAATGAGGCTCGGTCTCTTCTTGATGGGGAGCAACATCTGTTGGAGGAAGCTTCAAGACACTGGCCAGGAAACATGATGTCTGACAATACAGTCTGCTGCCACCCCTCACAGCACATGTATAATATAGTAGTACTCCAATATATCATAGTAGCTTCCATTTCTTTTCCATTATCCCTAAAGCCTAAACCCTATGGTATTTTCCACTATCGCAGTATAACCCAAGATCCTAGACCCCAAACCCTAAACCCTAAATAGTGGTTTCCATTTTCTTTTCCATTATCCCAACATAACTTAACCCCAATATATACCCTGTATTATAGTCCCGATA